TCCCGGTCCGGCCCGGGCCCAGCACCGGCTCGGCTCAAAGTTTGCGGCCGCCCCTGCGCCGCGCGCCCGATGTATGGGTGATATACTGCGGCGGCGGCAGGGTGAGGGACGGCCATATTTGCCGGCGCGGCCCGAGCCGGCGACAACAAAAAGTGCGCGGGCGCCCAGTGGGCGCTCGGACGGGCGCGGGGACGTGGGGCCGCCCGGCCCGAGCCTCGGCCTCGGCCTCGCCGCCGCCGCCGCGCTCGCGGCCTGGCCCGGCTCTGCCCGGCGCGCCCGCCGCCCGCGGGGATGTCGTACAAGCCGAACTTGACCGCGCACATGCCCGCCGCCGCCCTCAACGCCGGTGAGTGAGCGCGGGCCGCGCGCGCCGCAAGTGCCGCCAAGTTGGGGGCTCGCGCTGCCGGCCTCGACCCGGGGCTCCCCGAGTCGCGCGGTGCCTGAGGCGGCGAGCTGGCCGAGGGTGGCGGCGGCGGTGGGGATGTCCCGGGCCGGGGCAGCGCGGACGCCGCCGCCGCCGCCTCAGCCGCCCCGCCGCCATGATTCCGCCGCCAAAGTTCGCGGTGCGCCTGGAGCTCGGCGGGGCTGCGGCCCGGGCCCGGGTGCGAGCGGCGGAGCGGCTAGGGATGGCGGGGAAGCGAGGGCGCGGGCGGCCGGGCGAAGAAGGCTTTTGCCTCAGCTCCTTTTTCTTCTCGTTTTTTTTTTTTTTTTTTTCATTTCCTTAGGATTTTTGGGCGGCTCGGCGAGGGCCCCTGCCGGCGGGAGGCGGGAGCGGCCGGGCTGCGCGGGGCGCGAGGCGCGGGGCGCCGAGGGTCGGCGGAGCGGGACAGGCCAGGGCCGGGCCGCGTGGCCGCGGGCCGGGAGGAAGCCTGGCCGGGGTCGCGGGCGGCGGGCGTGCAGGGGCCGCGGCCTGGGGGTGGGAGCGGCTCCCGGCTCCCCCAGCCCCCAAGCCCTCGGGAGGTCCCTGGGAAGAAGTTGGCTTGCCGGCGCCTCGTGGGCCCTGCGGGCGGCGTGCTGGGTCCCGCGGGTCTCCATTTCGGAGTCCCCACGTGGGTACATGCTCGGAGGGCCGCGCTGCAGAAGCCCGGGGGACCGGCTCTCCCTTCCCCGCTGGGGCTGGACGCCACCGGGAAACTCCTGCAAAGTTCCTAGGCAGCTTTCGGCTGTGCCCAGGGGCTAGCCCCGAACCCCGAGGTAACCCGGGAGAGGGGTGTGAAACCGTGGCATGCATAGGTGGCCGCTTTGTGTCCTCTCCAGTACACCCCTTAGACACTTGGCTGTGAACAGACTCCCCCCGTCAAAAACAAAAAATAAATAAAGCAAAAACCAGACGCGTGATAGCAGGGTACCAGGAGAGCTAAGGCCTTCGGGGAGTTGGGGTCCGAGTTGGTTATGGTTGCCGTGTGTCAAACATACCACCCATGTCAGCACTTCCAACTAGGGGCGGGCTGTTCTTGTGTTAAATGTTGATTCCAGAACTCCAACCCCCCCCCCAGGACCTCGAAAAGCGCTGGACATGTATGGGTTTTTAAACTTCTTAGGCACTGGCTGCTCTTTGGGATTTGGAAAAGGTTGAGATTTAGGGTGCTAGCTTGGGAGAGTTGAAACACGTGGGCACAGAGCCCCCTAAAGCATGTAGCCACTGTTATCACCCCAGATGGTGTCACCCCTTTGGGTGACAGGCTTTGTTGGCAGCTAGGATTTTTGTCTCCCAGCCTTGGTTCAGTGCCTGGGATGGAAGGTTAGTGGGTTGCATGGCCAGGCTGTGGGAAGCCAGAGACAAGGCTTGACCTGGGATAGTTGACCCAGGGTCTTACACTCAGGGGTCTGTCCCAGCACTACCACGCCTGGCTTTTGGGGTTGTGGGTGACAGTGGCAGGCAGCCTCTGGGACTCAGAAGCCCTGTTCAGGGCTTGCTGGCACCTGCATTCAGCTCAAGTTCTTTCCCTAACGGGGAACGCCAGGAGGCGGGGCGGGGTCTTCAGGTGTCCGGCATTTTGGTGGGGCCCGCCCGCCCGCCCGTATTACTTTGCAGAAAGCCATGCTCTCCCCTGCCATCTGCATCCAAGATGGACTCTCACAGAGTCTCCTCCGCCTTCCCTGTCATCATCCCTCACGCCCTCCAGCCCTGCCTCCTGCTCACTGAGTTGCCAAGCTGCGGCCTGGCCGGCGGTGGCAGTGTCGGAGTTAGACAAAGCCCCCGCCTCCCCCGCCCTAGAGCCCCCCCCAGGCGCCCCAAGTGGCGGGAAGGCCGCCAGCTCCCCAGGCCCAGGCCGCTCTTTGTCTGGTGTGGGGGCGGGGAGCTGCGCCTGGCCCCAGGAGCTTCCTGGCCTCTGCCAAGCCCTCCCGGCTCTCTGCACACTGCGCTCATTGTCTGAGATGCTCCACACCGCCTGTGCTGACGTGGAGCCGCCTCCCTGGCCTCCCTCAGCCCAGGTGCCAGTCTTAGGGAAGGAGAGGGCTTGAGTGATGCGGAGGACCCTTCCACCACGACTGCGGGGGGTGCGGGGGGGGGAGGCTGACACCTTCCCCAACACTGGACATGGGGCTGGCTTTGACAGGTTCATCTCCACTCCTCCAGGGTGATGGGAGAGCAAACTGAGATATGGCCTGAGTTCCTCCACCCGTGTGGGGGTATTTCTCATTCCTCCTCTATCCCCAGCCCCCTAATCCCATCCCCAGTGTCATTAAAACGTAGGATAACTCCTCTATTGGAGAGTTTCTCAAAGGTGGAGAAACTGAGGCCAGCAAGGGCCTTGACAGAGCTCCCACAGCCAGGCGAGGTAGTGCTGGGACAGACCCGAGTCCAGGAGAGATGTGCCTGGGAGGTGAGGAACAGCGGAAGGCGTGGGGAAGCACGCAGGTGCCCCCAGCACTTCAAGGGTGACCAGCCTACCCAGTGTGTGGTGCAGGAACCCTCTTATCATGCCCCACCCCCATTCTTTCTGAGCCTAGGAAGGGCTTGACAACCTGTAGTGGGCAGGTAGGGAACTCACCTCCAAGCCTGTAAAGTAGCCATCTCTGGAGCCTGGGGAAATGGAATTTGGCTATGGTGGTGAGGAAGCTAGGGGGTTGCTCAGGTTGGGGGGCACATCCCTAAGTGTGCTTTGTCAGGGACACATCCATGCTTGGTGCCTAAAGGTGGGTGTATACTGTATACCTAGGAAGACCCTTCCAGCGCTGCTCCCTGCCTGTGCATGGAGACAGGTGTTGGCATTGCCAGCTGCTTACCACTTCCCATTCAGTGTGGCTCACCCTGCAGCCAGGCCCTGGGATTCACCGCTCCTCCCAGCTCCAGCAAACCCAGCTCCTGAACTTCCTTCCTCCTGCCCCTCCCCTCGCCCACACCAAGTGAGCAGCTGGTGACTTGGCCAGCCTGGCACCAGCTGTCCATCCCCGGGGCCAAGTCTGCAGAGCCTGCTGTGTGCGTGAGAGACAATTTGGCTTTGGGGGTGGTGGTCGTGCAGCTGCCGAGGAGGACTAGGTAAATTCTCCATGGTTACTGCTGTTTGTAATTCAAAGGACATCCTTTACCCGCCTAATGGCCACTTGGTTGCCATTATGGGTCTGCATGCTCCAGCCAGGGGACTCCTCATTCCACATCCAGGGGATGACATTCTGTGCTGGGCTCTGGGCCCTGCTTTGTTCTGACTGCTGCACCTGGATAGTGTTCTCAAGTGCTAGATTCCATACGTGGGGTTTTATGCCCCTCTTTTTGGAGTGCAGAGTGGTGTGTGTGTGTTGCATAGACACTTGGGAGTTCTTCCTTTCTTTGGAGAGGGGATGAGAAGCCCAGAGGGGTTGAGGGACTTGCACAAAGGCTGCTCTTCAGACCCTGTTTTGTGTGTATGCCAGGCACCTATCACCCTCAAGTTCTGGGCTTTGAGACCTTTGTAAATCTTCCTTGCTGTATTTGCCCAACAGAGGTGGGTGCATAGGAATACAGAGGTGGCTATATTTAAGAAACTGTAGCCCAGGTTGGACCAGCCTTGGTAGTTGCCAGTTATGGGATGTAGCTCTGGTTCTCAGCCTCTAGTGAGTGGGAACTGGGATGGGGTCAGCAAAGATTAACCTGGACACAGCTGTCAGCTTCAGTTTTGGTAGTGGTCTCTCCTTTGGAGTCATGTGTGTGGGCCAGGGAGGGCTATGTCTTTTGAGGTACTAGGTGTGTGGGCTGTGACCATTAGAGTTGAGCTGAGGTCTCTGTCCTGTAAATCAAAGTTCACGGGTGAGGGCCTGGGGGGGGGGGTGTTCAGTACCCAGTGCTCTTTGGTACAGCTATCTGTGGCCGGGGGGGTCTCTAACTTCTCCTTCCTCTTTGCTGCAGGAAGTGTCCACTCGCCTTCTACTAGCATGGCGACATCCTCTCAGTATCGCCAGCTGCTGAGTGACTACGGGCCACCATCACTAGGCTACACCCAGGTATGTAGTTGGGGTGATGGGAGGGCCCTGAGGGCAGCCAGAACACTTAAGGGGGCGAGGACAGCTGCTGGTAGGAGGGATTGAGGGGCAAAGGTGGATCAGAGCAGTCTCCATGTTCTCCTGTGTTTCCTTAGCTCTGGCTGGGACTTGGTTCCCATTTTTCACTTGATGGATTAGAATTCAGGGTGGCAGGACTGTTTCAGGGGGACACGGGAAAGGGTCAGTGGTCACTGAGCTGCTCAAGCCACCAGGTGCATGTCTCTGGGTTGCTTTGCTTCTTAGGCAAGTAAGGTTCAACTAGTATTGGACCTCTATGCTGTGAGAGAGGAGTTGGGAACAGCATATTTGGAGCTGGTGATGAGTGTGGTCCCAAGACATCTGCTTGGTTCTATCCTCTATTAGACCATGACCTTCTTTAGAGGCTTAGATCTCTTATCAATCCATTGTGGTGACCCCAGGGTCTTGCCAGGAGTTAGCTAGCTGCTACTGTTCTTCAGGTGGAATCTACAAGAGACATGCTATGCATGAAAATGTTTTTTTGCAACCCTGGTTGCCAACAGGAAAGTTCTTTTTGTGGGCCATACCCCAGCTAGTGTTCCGGGGTTGCCATGGAGGTCTCTCCTTGGCTAAGGATGTTGTGTACAACCTCCAGCCATGCCCCGACAGCCTATCCTATCTCAGGAGGAGAAGGAGGCCCGGGCCAGGGAGAGGGACAGGCTGAAGAAGCGAAGGCGGAGGGAAGATGGGCTGAGGCGTAGCTTGGAGCGGCAGCGCAATGCCCTGGCCATGCGGCGCCGGCGCTGGGAGAAGAGGGAGGCCAGGAGGCGGATGTGCCAGGAGGCTGAGCTCCAAGGCCTGGCCTGCAGGCTGGGTGGCCAGGCTTGGGAGTGGAGGCAGCAGAGGCGAGAGGAGCAGGCCACAGCCCTGGACAGAGAGCTGGCCACCATGGTCCATCTGCGGCAGGAGGAGGAGAGGCCAGAGCCAGGGCCCTCACTGATCTGGGTGCTTGCCTGGGCCACAGTCTGGAGACAAAGGCTGTCTGTGGGGAGGATGCCCCATTCTGGGTCCTTAATGAGTATTGAGGTCCTTCAGTGGTGATCTCTTGTCTCCCACTCATTGTGGATGCTTGATTGCCAGGAGGCACCCCTTTCTGCTGTGTGATCTAGGGGCTCCCTGTTACTTGTCACTTTGACAGCCAGATCTTTTTCCTATGTGCATGGTAAAATGGTTTTCTGGATGGGACATGCTCCAGCTGGGGCAGCCCTTGGGAGCCCAAGGCTAGGTCACTTTCCCTCCACCCATGTGTGGCCACTGGGGTGGGTCAGTCCATCTAAAGCCTTGTTTTCTGGTCCTAGGGAACTGGAAATAGCCAGGTGCCTCAGAGTAAATATGCAGAGCTGCTGGCCATCATTGAAGAGTTGGGGAAAGAGATCAGGCCCACGTACGCGGGGAGCAAGAGCGCCATGGAAAGACTAAAACGAGGTAAGCCAGGGGCATGGTTAGGGGTTGAAGGATTTTCTGAAGTTGAGCATGCTGGTGGGCTACCTGTAGTCCCAGCTGCTTGGGAGGCTGAGGCAGGAGGATGACTTGAGCCTAGGAAGTGGAGACTTAAGAGGTTTTCTAGAAGAAGCAGTGGAGGCGGTCGGGGAAAGGCCCTTGACCCATGGGTTAGTGCTACAGATATGTGTGCTATTGTAGCTGCTGGGGCAGCTAGGGGTGTGGCAGTTGAGTATGGGGTGGGGACTTGTGGGGTTTCTAAGAAGGAAGGGCAGCCTGGTAGTGGGCAGTCCTCACTCCTGTACCTTACCAGAGAGACTCTACTGGTCTAATGGAATTGTTGAATCCCTCAAGCTCCCCATCTGTGCCCCTGTGGGGTCTCACTGTAAAGCCCCTTGGCAGGTGTGGCTACAGAAGGTATCTTATGATCTGGGTAGGTGCAGCTTGAGAGTTCCTTTTTTTTTGGTTTGTTTGTTTTTGTTTCTTCAAGACAGGATTTCTCTTGAAGTCCTAGCCGTCCTCTGGAGACCAGGCTGGATTCAAACTCACTGAGATCCACCTGCTTCTGCCTCCTGAGTGATGGGATTAAAGGCAGGCACCACCACTGCCTGGCTAGACTTTTTTTTGTTTTTTATTTTTAAAATTGTGGTAAAATATATGTAACATACTATTTAACATTTAAACAATTGAAGTTTGTTCATATTAGTGTATAGCCATCAGTTTGTATCCAGAATCTTTTATCTTAAAAATCTGAAACTATGCTCATTAATTCAAACTGTGACTAAACTGTGACTAAAAAGAGACTGTGATGTTACAGAAAGCAAGGGACTCAGGTGTGAGGTGTGAAGGATGCTGAGCAGTGTGCTACCTCATGACAAAGTTGCTGAGGAGAGAGGAGCTCTGTTTGAGAAGTTATCGGAAGAGCTAGGGCTGTAGCTCTATTCATGACCAGGAGGGACTAGGTTGATAAAAACATTACAGAGTGAGCCTGAGAGAGAATGGAGATGGCCTGTACCTGTAGGTTCAGTGTGGCAGGAGGCCGCACTGAAATCAGACCTCCCAGCCATAGCCTGGCCAGCTGAGGGGCAGGTTGTAGCTGAAAGCCAGACTTGGCCTGAGTTCATGGGATCTCTGTGAGGAAGGTGACTTGACTAAAGCTAGACTGGGTACAAATGGGGACAGGACTGGAGATGGCAGCTGGCAGAAGGAAGTGAGATAATTCTGGGAATTGGAGAGCTGGTTCCATGTAGAGATTCCTGGCAAGTTGCTAACCTGTGAAGTCTTAAGCAAATTTACATTCACCCCCAAAGCCAGTGGATTGAATTATATATGGATGTACCAAGTGGCCATTGCAGGATACATCCTCAGGGAGCTGCTGGCCATATGAGAATGAGGAAGACTTCTGTCACCCTAGCCAACTGCTGACTCCATACAAGTATGTCATACCAGTGTGAAAAGATCTGAGGCTGTCCTCACTCAACAGTCTTGATTCTTCCTTGAGTACTAGGATTGCAGGGTGAGCCACCATACTTGGGCACAGCAATGTGGTTTTTTAAAGAGGAGAGAATCTGTATATTGCTGGCTTTGAACTTGTAGGTTCAAATGGTCTTCTCCCATCACAGCCTCCTGAGCAGCCTGGCCTTTGGATGTAGACCCACTATTCCCCTCCAGAGCGAGGATCAGCTGGTTTTCTTCCTGCCCCATGAATGGGCTGATGCCTGTCTCTGTTTCTCTTGCAGGCATCATTCATGCCCGAAGCCTGGTCCGGGAGTGCTTGGCTGAAACAGAACGTAATGCCAGGTCCTAGCCCCTGGCGAGTCTGAAGGGGCCCATCTTGCTACCCCATGGAGATGAGAGGCGTTGTTCAAAATGGCAGTAGTTTTCATACCATGGTCATTAAGCTCTGAACCCACATTCAGAAGATTGGGAAGACATTTTGCAGTTACTGATGATGTGCATTTTAAGTAGTTAGGAACCATCCAGCTCTTTTTTCTTTCCAAACATTGATCTAAAAGATGTTTGTGAAGCTACTTCATAGCAAGCTGTTGTTTGCCCCCAAATACCAGTGTCCCCTTTAATCTCCCTTTGGATACATTTGCCATTTGCATCACCCCAGTTGACTTCCTTTCCCTGAGCTCACCTGCCTCTGAGGACTTGCGTGCAAACCACAGCACGTTTGCTTAGTAGCTGGCCCGCCTGTGTACAGTGTAGACCCTGCTTCACGGAGCTTCTCTGCTTAAGCGTTTGCATGACTGAGTGCTTTGAAGTCAATCTTTAAAATGCACAAGTTATAAATACAGAAGAAAGAGCAATCCACCCAAGCTACCAAGCGCCCTGCAAATGTCCACCCTGAGACTGTAGATCTCAGTTCCATGTTTACTGTGAGATGATCACAACATCTGGAAGAAAACGACTGAAACTGTTGCATCTTTGTATTTATTACTTGATGTAATAAAGCTTATTTTCATTAACAGTTTGTATTAAGATATAGGATCCTTGGGATCTTAAGTGCTTGTTTTTCTTTGGGGGAGGACAGTCTTGCTAATTATAGTGATGCTGGCCTTGAACTCACAATCCTTGCCTTGGTTTCCCCAGTGTTGGGGTCACTGTTGAAGCTCACGAGAAGAGGGCTTGGATATATCTGCTAAGGGCGTTTCCTGTCTGGCCCAGAGGCATCATGGGATAATAACATTAGCACAGCAGGCTTCGAATTGTGTGCTTAAATCTCAAGGATAACAGACCCACATCGTGGATTTTAAGTGTGCACTTCGATGACAACAGCAGCAGTGTGACTGGCTTGGTCCCTCCACCACCCAGCAGGTAGGTGTTCCAAGGGGCTCCTTTTGCTGGGCAATGTGGCTCACTCCTGTAGTCCCAGAACTTGGCAGACAGAGACAGGAGGATCATATATTTTGTGTCAGCCAGGACTACATAGTGAGGCATTGATTAAAAGAAGTATTTTTCACAATGTGGTAATGCTCTGGTGCTGTGGAAAGTGAGTCGTGCTTGGATGTACCGAGTCACTGTGGTCTCCACACTATTAATGGGGGGCTTGGGAGGTTTTGCTCTGAAAACTGATCCTGCATCAGGCTTTGCTCTGAGCTGGATGAAGACAGATAACAGATATATAGTCAGTGTTGCGGGTGTGAGAAGCAAAGAGCCCAGTCTCAAGTCCAAAGGCTGGTGGGAGGGGCCATGTGCTTCCTTGAATCTCCTTGGTGGAGCACCAATTTGCAAATGGAGACAACTGGAAGCTGCTCTTCCTGGCTACCCTGTTCAAGGGAGCCTGATAGAGGGAGGGACCTAGGTGTTACAGCCAAGGGATTCCTGCTTGGAGAGGCCCATGCAGCAGCTTCCAGAATAGCTTAATGAACTGCCCCCCCCCCCCCCACACACACATAGGAGAGGCAGGTATCAGTGAGTCTCACCTCATGGGATTAAAGACATGGACCACCTGTGAAATTGTAGCAGGGAAAGCAAATGGAACAAATGAGTAACAACCTGTAGCCTTGTGTGGTGGTGCATGCCAGTAATCCTTGGGACTGGGGAGGCAGAGAGAGGAGGGTCAGGAGTTCAAGACCAGCCTGGGCTATGTGAGACCTTCACTTCAAAATCCAAAAGACTGAGTCCACTGGGTGGTGATGGAAACTTAAGTCCTGGGACCTCATCTCTAAAACAGCTACTTAGTCATGTTCAAGAAGTGATGAGCTTTCCACTCAACTGGCAAGTTCCAGATCTATTTCTGTTACTGTGGTAAAATACCCTGGCAGAAAGCAATTTATGGCTGAGTAGTGGCACACACCTTTAATCCCAGCACTTTTGAGGCGGAGGCAGGAGGATTTCTGAGTTTAAGGCTAACCTGGTTTACAAAGTTAGTTAGTTCCAGGACAGCCAGAGCTGTTACACAGAAATCCTGTCTTAAAAAACAAAACAACAAACAAACCAAAAGGAGAAAAAAAAAAAAAAAAAAAAAAAAAAACAACTTATGAAAGAGGAATTTAGCTTGCTCTTTCAAGTTTTACAGTTCATTTTGGGGAAGTTGGGGTAGGACCTCAAGCATTGTCATGCCATTCACAGTCAAGAGAATAAAAGCATTGCTGCTCGCTCTTTCTTAGCTAGCCTGTATTGATTTCTGCTTAGGGAATGATGCTGCCCACAATGGGCTGGGTTTTCCAACTTTAGTTAACAATAAAGACAGTTCCCACAGACATCCTCATAATTTCTCACTGAGACTTTTCCCTGGTGATGCTAGGTTGTGTGAAGCAGAGTGTTAAAACTAGTAAGCACATCAGGTAACTTAGTAACATTTCACTGTCATTTTGTCTTTATCAAAAGCTAAGGATAAATAATATCTTAAGCCAGCTCAGCAGTGGCCCTGGAGTTGACAAGATAACACTAAATGCTACTGCGACTCAACTTGCCATAAAAGTGGGCTTACCTAATAATGGTACTTCTTCAATTTGTTTTTATCTTAACCTTTTATTGCTTATTTATTTTTGTGACAAGTGTGGGCATTCATGTCATAGTGTATGTCAGGAGGTCAGAGGACAACTTTGTGGAGCCAGTTCTGACCCTCCACCCTTATGCAGATTTTGAGGCTCATAGTTGGCTGTCAGGCTTCTGGGATAAGTGCTTCTACCCAAGCCTTAGCCTTCCCAAGTGCTGAGACTGCCGTATATACGGCCATGCCCACCTCATGCTTTCTTCAGATGTTCAACACGTGCCGAGCATCAACACTATTCCCGTGAGCTCCCAGCACCATCAGCATCACTCCCTTTCTCAGGGACATTTCGACTTGCTTCCCAGAGTTCTTTCAACAACTTCTTCTTTTCTAGCGTCTCCTTCGCTCTCTTCTTCTTCTCACGCTTTCTTCTCTCAGCCTCAAGCTTCTCTTTGTGGATAGGGCTGTTTTCACCATTGTAGAAAACATCCACTTTCTCCTGGAGGATCTTCCGAGCGATCTTTCTGTTTTGATCCACAGATCGAGTTTGGTGACACTGCAAGAGATCATGGGTAGGAATGTGACACCATGGGTGTGAGATGGGCAGGGCCTCAGAAGCCCTAGTCCTCTATCCACCCATTGTTCACAGAGGTAAAGGCCAGGAGGGCAAAGGCAGGAGCCCCTTTGAGTCAGCCATGTGGGTGCTGGGAATCAAACCTGGGTCTTCTGGAAGAGCAGCCAGTGCTCTTAAACACTGAACCAACTTTCCAGCCCCACAATACCTTTCAACTAATTTAAGCAGTTTCCAAGTAATTATAGAAGCACTGACTGTAGTCTCTAGCTTGTGGCCAGGGAGCAAACCCTGTGCAAAATTCATACACAATTCACATGTGTGGATCCACCTGGAGGACAGGGACACATCTTTACTAACAGTTTACAACATTCAGTATGGGAAACTGGTGGCAGCCAGGGCCTATTGAAGTTGCTGGGCAGAGGAAATGCTGAGGCTCGAGGGAGGTTTTCAAAAAGAGAATGAAGCTAGTGGCAAGTTCAACAAAAATTGCTTCTACAATTTTGTTATGAGTTTCTCGAGGAGGAAAAGAAAGCAACTGAGGGTTTTAACTTATATCTTGTTGGCTCAAGAAACTGGCCATAGAGCAGCTACTGGACTCCCCTTTTGAAGGACTGTTGTCCGCCTCAGGCAGTAAGCACGTTTCCAGGACCCAAAGAGTTAACATTCAGAGTGCCTCTAGCAGTGAAGTTGGCTGTACCTGGGAAAATCTGTGCTGCTCTGGGGCCCTCTAGTGACGTACACATGGCAGTGGTTGGCTGCAGCTCTATTGGCCTGGCTCTTCAGAGGCCGCGGGTCTGCTAGCACTCTGTTGGGAGCTGGTGCTGCCCTTGACCAGAGACAGCCTTCTTTAAGGAAGATTCACACTGGCAGCTGGGCAGTGCTTTGCCTCTGCATCCACCCCACCTCGTTCTTTCCTGGGAAGGGCATGTGTTAAAGACATTTGCCAAAGCAGGGCAGAGGGACCTGGAGGAGACACCTTGCCCAATTGAGGACTGAGATAGCTGGCCAGCAGCACAGTCCATCAGTTCCATGGTGTCAGCCAGGGGTGGCTTGGGGAGCAGCAGGCTTCAGCAGACCTGCCTTATAGCATCCCTTGCTGGTGACACATAGCCAGATTCAAGGAAAGCAGCAAAATCCTGGTTCCACAAGACTCTGGCACCAGGCCCCTGAGACTGGGCAGGAGGGCATCTCCAGAGGGACAGCTGAGGGCTTAGGTACACCTGTAGTACCCTGACTCCTGGGTTTGCACAGCGTGCCAGTGCCAGGATGGGCATGCCCTTCAGCTGAAACTTGCTATGGCTGCAGACCTGGACTCCCTTCATCTACCCAGCCCCTCTACTATCTACCTTGACCACAATGCCAGAGGGCACATGTTTGAGCACTACACAGTTGCTGGTTTTGTTGGTGGCCTGGCCCCCTGGACCATGTCCTTTCACAAACTGTTCTTCAAGCTCACTCTCGTGCAGGGGAAGCAGAGCAGGATAGTCCTTCCTGCCTGCCACCTGTACCACAGTGGCAGCCATTCCTGGGAAGAGCAGTGCTGGCTTCTCCTGAAGCCCAAGTACCCAGTTCCCTGAGCACATCCTGGTCAGTGGTGCCGGGAAACGGAGCAAAGCCCAGGTGCTCATCAAGGACACAGGTCGGTGGGTGTGGCAGGACCTGGGATGGAGAAAGAATGAGGCCATCTTTTCACTTTGTTCTCGAGAGGACAGACTTCAAACACAGCTTTTTATACAATCTCAGTGACAGTCCTTCATGCCCAGGGCGTGTAGGGGACAAGCAAAGGCAGCTGACCAGGAAGGCACATCTCTCTGGGCTGGACTTGCCCCGAGTTCTAACTGACCATGTTCTATCAGCTAATACATATTTCCTTTCTTCCTTTCTTTTTTAAGCCTACCGCACAGGGTATTCCCATCCTGACCCTGTTTAGCTTCTAAGATCAGCGTGTTCAGGGTGATATGGCCACAGACTGCACATTTTCTTCTAACATACCAAAAATAACCTTCAGAGCAGCTGGAGGTGCCATCGCCCTAGGAAAGAGATATTGAGTGTGACATTACAGGAGCAGGGCTATGGTTTGATAGAGGCATATTTAAGAGTACTCTGAGGAAGAATTAGGACCTGAGTCAGGGGACAGTATTTAAATATGAAATCTATATTTGTGCAAGGATGACAGCATCAGTCTATTTTATAGCTGAGCTTAAAGTCTGACACAGTAAACTTCACTATCAATCAGTGCCCTGACTGTTGGTTTGTAACGCTGGCAGTTTTGTGGATTTGAATGGGAACATCTGTTCTCTGGGATGCATTGCCAACAATGTGATCCAACTGGTCTTCTTGTTACCAAATCAAGCAGTTTCTGCTAAGGCGCCTGTTAGGCTTAAATAGCACAAAGGGTGTATGAATGATGTTAAGATGAAAGAGCCAGGTGGCGGCAGCGGCGACGAAGCACACCTTTAGTCCCTGCACTCAGGAGGCAGAGGCAGGTGATCTCTGTGAGTTCAAGGCCAGCCTGATCTACAAAGCTATATGGAGAAACCCTGTCTCAAAAAAAAAAAAAAAAAAAAAAAAAAAAAAAAAAACAAAACAAAACAAACAAAGGGGGGGGGGGGGAGCTGGACCCATGAGCTAGCCAGAGAAGACACTAAAGACTGCATGGAGATTGAGTATCCATGCACACTCAACCCATTCTGAATAAGTTACACCCCCAGGTTCAGGAAAGTCTTTGTTATTAAACAATGAAATATTTAAATGAAGCTGAGGAAGGAAGACTGCCAAGAATTTGAGACTACCTCAGGTTATAAGACCCGGTCTCAAAATCTAAAAAAGATTTAACTAACGGCTCAAGATAACAGCATAATGCTGACATCACTTAGCTGGCACGTGAATTGGACAGGGAATTGTAGCCTCAAGGACATGGTCATCCCACAGGCTTTTGAGGTTTTCAAGGGGTCAAAGGTGAACATGATCTGACAGGACTCCTTGTGAAAGGGTCAAGTCACAAGCCAGGCCTGACTCATCAACTGGACAATTGGTGAACTTGCTCTTCTCTACCCAGGTCAAATTTCATAGAGAAGACAGAGAAAAAAGTATTCTGGGGATGGCTCTGCTAATGACTTCTGGGGTGCTGGACTACATCTTAGTGACCTGCTTGGCAGCTAGGTAATCTCAGAACCACAGCTTAGTGGCGACTGTGCCTCTGCTGAGGGTGTGCAGGCACCAAGCATGGGCATGCTAGCTTCACACTGCTCCCCCGGCTCTCAGCAGCAGCCAAAACCTGGTGACACAGAGTCCTGGCAGTTGGTCTGAGACATAGGAGCTACTAGCTTCTTAGTTGACTAGACCTGCAGGACAGAACTACCCAGGTTTTCACTGAGCTTGCTTTTTACCCTGAATCCAGTGTCATCTGTGACTGCTATTGTCTGCTGTGTTTACCAGGTGAGTACTGGGGTGGACTCTTGATAAAGGCACACTGTACTGTGGTGCTTTATTTTTCATTTTGTTTATTTATTTATTTATTTATTTATTTTGAGACAGAGTTTCTCTGTAGTCCTGGCTGTCCTGGAACTTGCTGTGTAGACCAGGCTGGCCCAAACTCGAGAGATCCACCTGCCTCTGTCTCCCCAGTGCTGGGATTACAGGTGTGTGCCACCACTGCCGGCTTGTTAATTTTTTAAATTTATTATTTATTTAGGTTTTTAAAACTTATTTTATTATCATCATTATGGTTGAGACAGGATCTCTATTATGTAGCTCTGGTTGTCCTGGAACTTGCTGTATAAACCAGACTGGCCTCAAAATCCCAGAGATCTGCCTGTCATTGCCTCCTGAGTGTTGGGATTAAAGACATGTGGCCATGCCCTTTTAAAATGTTCTGCATTTGGTGTTTTGCCTTCATTTATGTATATGCATCATGGGCATGTCTGGTGCCACAGAGGCTGATCCCCTGATACTGGAGGGACAAGCAGTTGTGAGCCACCCCAGATCTTCTGTAACAACAGAAAATGTTCTTAACTGAGCCATCTTTCCAGCCCCCACTTAATTTTTCTTTTTGTTTGAGACAGGACCTGAGACTGGACTTGACTTTCTCACCTTCCTGCTTCCACCTCCTTCCTCCTTCCTCTCCTTTCCATCTGTCCATGTCCCACTTTCCTGTTTCAAACGCAAGCTCCTGAGTAGCCAGAAGGGTTGGCAACTTCGATGACACTCAGCATCTTTAAACCTCTTTTTCTTTCTTTTTCCAATATTGAACCTCTTTTTCTATGGGAAATGGATACTGTGAACTATAACGCATGGTCTTCTCAAGTCTTGCTACTACTTGCCTTCAAGTCTATGGCAGTATGGTTTCAACCGTGTCTTCTTTTTGTGCCATTCAGTGCGTTCTGCCATATCTATGGGTGCTATTTAAGACAACAGTGGAAGGTGCTCCTGTGAGGGTGTATATCAAAACTCATAGCAATGAAAATGGTGACCTGAGTTTGGTTCTGGGACTCTTGGTAGGAACTGACTCCTAAAAGATACTGTCTAACCTCTGTGGGACACACAGGCACATGTAAAAAAAATTTCTTTTAAGTACTAATAAAAATACTGGTTTTGTTCAATGAGTGAAATAATTTAGAACTATCCTTAAGAATATCCTGTAAGTGAGTTGGGCGTTGGTGGCACATGCTTTTAGTCCCAGCACTCTATTGAAGAGGCAGAGGCAGGTGGATTTCTGTGAGTTCGAGACCAACCTGGTCTAAAGAGCTAGCTCTAGGACAGGCTCCAAAACAATACAGAGAAACCCTGTCTTGATAAACAAGCAAACAAAATCCTTAAGTGAGCTTGGTGGTGGCGGCAGCTGCACATGCCTGAGGAAGAGGAAGGTGGACCTCTGTGAGTTCAAGGCAGCCTGGTCTACACAGAAACCCTGCCTCAGAAATAAGTAAATAAATAAGAATAAAAAGGAAGAAGTAAGTGAAAAAAGAGAAAAGGGTAAGTGATCAAGATGTGGTTGGGGGTCCTATGCCTGTAATCCCAGAATATGGGAGGCAGAGGCACCAGGTGTCACAAGATTCTGTCTCCATAGAGCAACAATCAAGAGCAGCTAAGATGGCTCAGTGGGTAAAGATGCTTGTCACCAAACCTGATGGCCTGAGTTCTAGCTGAGGAACCCACAAGATAAGAGAACCAGCTCCTAAAACTTGTCATCTGATGTCCAGATATTTTGTGGTGTACACCTCTTCTCTGACAAAATAAAATGTATTTCAAAACAAAACAACCCCAAATAAACACAAAAGAATGTGACGAAACCAGACACTATAAATCAGGGACAGGGCTAAGTTAATGTCCAAAATGGCCCTGAATTCCGTTGTGTAGCAGAAGGCTCCAAGTCCCTTGAGGTGGACTGACCATGGAATGTGAGCCCAGGGTCCCTTCTGAGGGTCTCTTCCACCAGTTAGTGAACAGACCGGACGGGACAGTAATGATAATACAGTGCTGGGACAAAGACAGGAAGCGAGTCTGGAACAGGCCAGACTCCCAGACAAAGGCCAGGACAGCAGGGACAGTGCTTTCATCAGCAGCTGTCACAGCCACCAGCTCAGTCTCTGACCAGACAGACACCCTGGAAGAGTTCCCACCCAGCTGAGTTCAAGGAGGTCCCCAGTGTTCGGTGACTGACTGCTTTGTTTAATGGTTAATGCCTGCAGCCAATCAGACAATGCTAGACACTTCTAGTATCTCCTGGAGTTTTGGACCTACTCCAGTGACTGCTAAAAATGACAAACACACCCATGGCTCTGCTTCCCCAAAGCCTAGAGAAGAATACAGACTGGATTTCAGGGTTTGTGATACCACAGTGCAGCCTGGAGTCTTTGGGGACAAAAATGGCTCAAATTCTAGCTCATTGTGACATTTAAAAACTACAAGCGAAAATGACAAAAAGGACAAAAAGAAGTGCTAGTAAGGGGAAACCAGCAGCCGGCAGCTCTGCCCTAATTCCTTTCTGGGAACGTGGGCTTTAATTTAGGGCTGGCTCTGTACCTCACTTCCCTGGCCCTACTTTTTCTTTGATGACCAGCTATTCATGAGCAGATGAAGTTAGGGTTAAAGCCTCTTATTGTCCGAGTCCTGACTTAGTCTAGTGTAGAGAGAATGGGTCTGCCAGACCTTCCAAAAGGAAATGTGAATTAGTCCTGTGGAAAATCCGATTAAATATCTACTAAGCATTAGGCAAAGGTCTCAAGGAGCATGAGCAGTTTGCCTATCACAGACATGAACACAACAAATTCTATATCCCAGGCTGCGACAGGGATAGGCCCTAGATTACCCACTGCACCTTTGCCAGGATTTGGAACTTGCAAGCACTTTATGCCTGTTGTCACCATTTCTGGTTCACAAACATTCCTTCCTCTAGCTTCCCAAATCACCCAGAATCTGGAGGATGAAGCTGCAGGGGTGACCTGCTCAGCTGTTACAAGGCCTAGGAAGAGCAATCCCAGGGTTAAATGAGATGCAAGAGGCCGTGCTGTGTTTCAAAAGCTCTAATGCTGTAGATGGGGCAGAGGACTGTTTTTATATCTCTTAAGAAACATAAAGAGTTGGGCTGGGAGTACTGTGCAGTGGTGGAGAGTTTTGCTTGCTTGGCTTGGCTTTTATTTCCCAGCTTTGTGATAACTAAGTTGCAGATAATTAAAACCAACACCAGGACTAGTGACCTGGCTCAGCATGTGAAGATGTAAAGGAGCTTGCCACCAAGTCTGAAGACCTGTGTTCATTCCTGGAACCTACATAATCACTCCCACAAGTTGTGTGTGTAGTCACACACACACACACACACACACACACACACACACACACACACTTACGTAATTAAATCAACCCATTAAGGATATTTGTTTGAGTTCAAGAATGTTCCCAGCCAGGGGGTGGTGGTAGACGCCTTTAATCCCAGCACTTGGGAGGCAGTGGCAGGCCGATCTCTGTGAATTCAAGGCCAGTTTGGTCTATAGAGTGAGTTCCAGGACTGGCTACTGAGAAACCCTGTTTCAACAAACAAGCAAACAAACAAGAGGTTTCCCAGTGTTTGATGACTTACTGCTTTGTTTAATGATTAATTCTAGAAAACCTATTCTCTCTACATTTGACCAAGTTAGGACTTGGACAGTGAGAGTCTTTAATCAAAAACTCAGTGACCCAGAATTTTTCACCTTCTGTCATTACACCTAGATCAGGTAAGGGTATTTGATTTTAACCTCATTTCTGTCTAGAACTGCTGTTTCTTTAAAAATGTACTACTTACTGTTTCTTTAAAAAGGTACTGAGTACAGTTTTCCCTAGCCACAACTTTCATGGTGTATCAGCCTTGCAGAAACTTCATTAAAACTAAGTGGAGAGAACGCATATGTAGAGAACTCCATAGGGCAGTTTAGGAGAGATGCTCTCGGCAGATCTGGCCATTCCACAGTGTGTAAACGGCACACCCGGGAGTCTTAAGTTTGATGCTTGCACCTTGAGGCAGGCAGGGAATCAGACTTCGTTTCTCCAAATCTCTGCTTTTTGTTATTGTTTTTGAGACAGACCCTCTCTATGTAAGTCTCAGCTAGCCTGGAACTCACTATGTAGCCCAGGCTGGCCTTGAACTCAAAGAACTCCAAGCAAGACCTGACTCTGCCTCCTGAGTACTGGGATATAGATATAAAGGTGTATGACCCAGAGCTGACAGACTTTTTTTTCTAACTAGCCCCTAGGTAAGGCTGTTATTATTGGTTCAGGAACCATCCTTTGAGTGGTACTATGAAGAGCTTTGAGCAGTATTGCCTACATCCTGATACTTAGGATGGCAAGATTGTTTGATGAGAGGCTTGGAATCATGATGGCAATGACAGAGATAAAGAGTGTGACGGGAGGGCAAGCAGGTCCTAATGCTGCAACCTCTTAATAAAGTTCCTCATGTTGTGGTACCCCTCAACCATAAAATTATTTTGTTGCTACTTCACGAGGTTCCAGGTCTATCCCCAAGAAGAGCATAAACCAGGCTTGGTGGTCCATGCTTATAACCCTGCACTAGAGAGTAGAAGCAGGAGGAGCATACATTCAGGGCAGTCCTCAGTTTTGACAGCAAGCTTGAAGTCAGCTGCTTTGATCTGGGAAAACAGGCAGTGGTGACCACTCTGGGTCTGGTCTGAATTTAACAGAATTGCTGCTACCTAGGTCAAGAGAAAACGAATGAAATCTATAAAGGGAGCAGTACCCAGTATTCACAACATCCTACTCATCTTCTTATAGTAGAAACTTTCAATGCATGGAGGATTACACTTGACCTATTTGTGGCACCTCACAGGAACCTTTTAATTTATCAGCTGCTATAGAATGCTACAGGAACATTCAGAAAGCAGAACTGGCAACACAACCTTTTATCTTAAAGTTCTTAAAGCCTGTGCGCCATTAATGGTGTTAGTTGCTTAGTATTCAAATGTCTTCACAAAGCCCTTCATAGTGTAGTACTGAGCTGGCCCTGATAGAGCAAACCTGTAATTTCAGCACCTTGGAGGTAGAGGCAGGAGGGTTGCAAGGAGTCAACTCCTTTTAAAAAAGCCAAACCAAAAATGATAGTATACAAGAAATAAGGTATGCTGTGTAGATCCTCTTAAACGTGCTTATTGTGGAAGATCATTAGGTTTTACCAAAAAACTAGAATATTACATAGCTTAGGATGGCCTCAGACTTACTACAGAGCTGAAGATGAAAAACTTCAGATATTCCTGTTGAGTGGAAGTACAGGCCAGTTGTTTTCAACTTTCTTATTTATTTATTTGTTTATTTATTTATTTATTTATTTTTGAGTCAGGGTCTCATTATGAAGCCCTGGCTGGCCTGGAACTTGGTATGTCTTATTTGGACACATCAACCAGGTTGATTCCAATTTGCAGAGATCCACCTGCTTCTGTCTCCTGAGTGCTGGGATTAAAAGCGTGTACCACCATGCCTTTGTTTGTTTGTTTTTCAGGACATGGTTTCTCTGTGTAGCCCTGGCTGTCCTGGAACCAGATTGGCCTCAAATTCACAAAGATCTGCCTGCCAGGTATGTGCTTTAATTTCAACTTTGGAAACTAAATTTATCTTTTTCCCCAACATGTTTCATAACATCTCCAATCTGTTATTTCTATCCCTTAAAAAAAGTTTGCTCACTTTACTTAACTTTCTGAGTCTTTCATTTTATCTAAGAAAGGCTACACTGCAGAATAGAATAAGTTTTCTTTCATTGCTTTCCCTTTCCATTTTCATGAGTGGATGTGAATATATGCTTGCAAAGGTTAAAAGTTTATGAGGGAATCATCCTCCGTTGCTCTTTACCTTTTTCACTGAGACAGGATCTCAATGGAATCCAGAGCTCTCTGATGTTGCTACCCTCTCTAGGCAGCTTGCTTTGGAGATTCCTGTCTCTGCCTTCCAAAGCTGGAATTACAGACCAGTCACCAAACTCATTGGGCATTTCATGTGAGTTCTGGGGATCCAAACTCTGGTCCCCATGCTTGAGCAGCAAGTGCTTTAAACACGGAGCTAGTTCCAGGACAGCCAGATCTACACAGAGAAACCCTGTCTCAAAACACAAACAAAAACAAAACAAACAAACAAAAGGTACCTGGAAACCATGAGAATACCAAAGTGGTGCTATTTGCTCAGATCATAATTCTGGTCTATGAAATCAGGTGTCAAGGAGATCATTATGATGCCAAAATTACAGCCTGATTCTCAGCAGGTTCACACTGACAGACCCAGCTGCCCTGATTGAATCAAGCCTGGCTGAAACAACCTTAGGAAGCATGGACTATAGTAGGGGGAAAAAAATCATTAAAAAAAAAAAAACAACAACAACAACAACAAAAGTTTAAATGCAGGGTTGTAAATGCAACCTCATGGCAGAATTAACTGCTTAGCTGTAGATTTTTAGCTCCACCAAATGAAATAAAACACAAATTAATCCTATTTTCCATGTTTATTAGGTGAGCTAGATTTGGTTTTATAGCTTAGTTTTTGCTGTGAAGGATGACCCCTCCCCAGAAAAACTGTTTGCTATAAAACATCAGTGACACCCTGAAGTAGTCACACCATGCAACAAGAGGGTGAGCTAGTTCCAGCACTAGAATGGCAGGAGTTCTAGGTCAGCAAAGGAACGAATGAATGAATGAATGAATGAGATCTCACCAAAAAGCTTAAGCTAAAGAAACATGCTACGTACAACCATACCTGTCAATTATCAAAATAAGTTTAATCACAACGCTAGTTCCTGAACATCTGACTTAACACATCAACAAGTTAAAAAGCAATTCTCTGAAAATCACCTAAAAAGAATGTACTGAAGCTGTGGTGGTGCACACTGGTCACCCCAACATTTGTGCGGTAAAGGCAGGAAGATGAAGCCATCAAGGCTAGCCTTAGTTACATATTGAGTGTCTAGTTAGTCAAGGGTGTTAAGAGAGACCCTCTCTCAAAAACGAAAACAGAACACAAAAATGTTACCACTCAAAGTGATATTATGAAAACAATAGAACAACAGAGCATTTCCGGTTTTGTGGCTATGACTTCTGTATGGTCAGTAGCTAGTTGTGGCTACCTTAGGATTTAATATTCATCTGTAGGAGGAACACAGCTTTCTCTGACTGAAGTTGTTTGGGGAATTCATGATTCTCCCTTATTTAAACGAAAGATTCTAGAGTTTTTAGTTATTAGTCTAGTAGATTAAGTCTGGATTAAGTGAAGTGATAAAACACTTTGAAATATGAGGTCACTGATAACAAATGTGCACTTAAAAATCTGGTTTTGGTTTGGTATGTGGGTATTATACTGATGGGTAGATGAATCTATGGAGCTTTTGATCTATTTAAGCTTTAGATCCGGCATACACCTGTAAGTTTGCGATAACTACTAAAATTTCAGTGTTGAAAAATATCTGAATGGTCAGGCTTGAAAGCATAGGCCTTTAATCCCAGCCTTTGGTGGACAGAAGCAAGCGGATTTCATTCCAGGGCAGATAGGTTTATATAGTGAGACTGTCCAAAACAATAATAGCGGGTTTTAAGGAGAGGATGAGATTGGATGTTTCTTTGTAGGTCTGCCATTTCAAGGGCAAATACATCTCCCGCATCCTGACATCGCAGTAGCAACCCTGCACATTAAAATGGCAGTGCTCAAGCACCTGCCGAGGACAACGCTATGTGCTACTAGTACTGCAAGACCTGATCCTCTGAATAAGTAGATGGGCATCGACACGTTTCTCCTTGGGCCTCCGTGGAATACCTTCTCTGGAGCTGGGAACTCTCCTCCACTCCTCTCACCAAGTGCTCGGTGAGACACACAGCCGGTCTCCCTAAACTTAGTGTAAAGTGAGCTCCGACAGTTTAATTCAAGTCCGTTAGGTGCCACAAGCCGGAAGAAGGTCAGGAGTCCCAGCTTCAAGGTTTCATCCCAGAGTCTGAGACAGTAGTAATCAGTCCGAGCCTGGCCTTGCAGACGCTTACCTGTTTCAGCACCAGCCTCTAGCCGGAAACATTCAGCAGCAGACTGAAAGCACGACCGACGCCTATGGGTTCCAGGTCTGCGCATGCGCACTACTCCTTTGAGGTCCCCCCCTCAGCCTGCCAGAGGCTCATTCTCATTAACTACGCATGCGAGAAACCGAGGCGTCTTTCCCGCAGTTTTCAGAGAACCAATCGGCAGAGGCCTTGCCCTCAAGCCCCACCCTCCCGCCTCCGAGAGCTGCGCGTCAGGGAGAGGGTCGGCGTCTGTCTGCGCCGGCTCGGCCCTCTTCCGGGCAGCCAATCGCCGGCGGGACGCCGGGCGCGCACGCTCCTTGGAGTTTAACGGTCGCGTGAGGCCAATTTCTCGACCCTGACAAGACAGAGGCGAGGAGGCAGGTAAGCGGTCGCGGCTCTTGGGGAGCTGCGTGCCGCGAGGGCTGAGTCCTGGACAGTCCCATGGGGGGACCCCATTGGGTGGGGTGCGATGACAGGCCAGGGTGAGGGACGACAGCTGCCACATAGCGGGATCCCGCTGGCGTGTGCGGGTCTGCTGGTGCGTGCGCCTTTTCTAGACTCGTGCCCTTGAGTGACATCAGCGAGGCCCAATCGGAGAGCGGGCTTTGCAAGGGGCGTGAGTGTCCTCCCCTCCTTTCCCCCTGGGTAGTGGTACCCGGGTTTCCTTGGGAAATTGCCGTGGTAGTGAGTGGCTCTCCGTCATCCCTGCTGCCTTGTATTCTCTCACCTCCGGTCTTGAACCGATAGCCGCTAACAGCGACTAGGGTCTGGCTTCAACACCTGAAACCACCTCGTACTGGTTTCTTTCAGCCTCCCCACAAAGAGGAAGCCCTGTGAACTTTCAAATTGTTAATGCTACTCCATCGCTCCTGCCTCCGACCCCAAAGAACCGAAGCATCATTGTTTTTTTTTTTGGTTCTGGAAATGATATTTTAAAATGTGTGTTTCTGTATTCATTTTCTGTCAAAAATTTTTGGGGTCCACATGGGATTTCCCCCTTTTCTCCTCGTCCTTCCCGGTGCCGGTAGAGGTGTCATTGAGTTTCTAGAGGTGTTTCTATCTGTGTCTTCGGCATCCGGATTACCTCAGTGGAGGTGGATGTGGGGGTGGGTGTGGGGGTGAGAGCCAGGGACAGTGAGTGTGAGAAGAGAAGGAACTGTAGATCCACCTCTGTGGAGAACTTTGGTCATTTGAATCCAGGTACTTTGGTTGCCAGTTGGAAGAGGCAGCGCCTGACTTTTTCAATACCCCATTTGTCGTTGTTGATGGGCCAGACACTGGGGTGAGAAGGTGGGGGAAGTCAAGTCCATTTAGTTAGGGCTGGTCATCCTTTGCCTCTGTATCTGTCCTGGAGGAAATGCTTAACTTCAATGAACCGATTGTGTTCTTTAAGCCCTGGAAAGTGAGAGTTGGGAATGTGAGAAAGTTCTTCCGATGAGGTCTCTCTAAACTTCTCACTTTATAAGCAGCATTTTTTTTTGTTCCCCCTCATCTTTTTTCTCTTCCCCCATCTTTTTTAAAATCAATGGATTCTGGAAGGATGAGGCATATATATATGGTTAGTGAACATTTAGTTAACTTGTGCAGAGTAAAAAGGCTCTGTAGTGAGAATTGTACATCCGGCCATTTTTAATAGTTAAATAGCCTTTAAGCATCAACTTAAAGTGGCTACATAAGTTAAGAAATACTTCTGCAACATAGAACTCCTTAAATAAGTGAGCCAGGCTTGGAAGTATTCCATTTATTACATAACAGAGTGCACCTAGAACCTTGATTATTAAACACAAAGTTCTGAAATATTGCCTGTGGGGATGTGATTCTTACAAGCTACCTTAAAAAGACATGTGGTTCCCATACATAAGCTCCATCCTGTTGAAAACATGTGATTTAGGGGTTTTAGATAAAAAAAGCTAATTCCAGAACATTTCATCAGCCCAAGATGAAAATGACTACACTGCATGACTCCCTTCTCCCGCCCTCTCCCTCCTCCCCTCTCCCTCCTCCCCTCTCCTCCTCTCCTCTCCGTTCTCCCCCTCTCCCCTCTCCTCCTCTCCTCTCCGTTCTCCCCCTCTCCGTTCTCCCCCTCTCCCCTCTCCTCCTCTCCTCTCCGTTCTCCCCCTCTCCCCTCTCCTCCTCTCCCCTCTCCCCCTCTCCCCCTCCCCCTTCTCCCCCTCTCCCCCTCTCCCCCTCCCCCTTCTCCCCTCTCCTCTCCCCCTCTCCTCTCCCCTCTCCCCTCCCCTCTCCCCCTCTCCCTTCTCCTTTCTCCCCCTCTCCCCTCCCCTCTCCCTCTCCCCCTCTCCCCCTTCTCCTTTCTCCCCCTCTCCCCTCTCCCCCTCCCCTCTCCCCCTCTCCCCTCTCTCCTCTCCCCCTCTCCCTTCTCCCCCTCCCTTCTCCCCTCCCTCTCCCCCTCCCCTCTCTCCCCTCTTCCCCTCCCCTCTCCCCCTCTCCTCTCTCCCTTCTCCCCTCTCCCTTCCCCCTTCTCCCCTTCTCTCCTCAGGGCTTCAGACATGGTCTGCTTTCTGCCCTGTGGGTTTGCCAATGCTAGATGCTTCATATAAATGGAGTCATAGAGTAGTGGTCTTTTTGTTTTTTTAACCTTGGAGGGTTTCTCTATGTAGCCCTACCTGTCCTGAAACTCACTCTATAGATCAGGCTGGCCTCGAACTCAGAGATCCACCTGCCTCTACCTCCTGAGTGTTGGGAATAAAGGCATGCCCCACCACCCCCAGCTTGAATAGTGGTCTTTTTTGTTCTTTTTATGATTGGTTTTTAAGCTCAGCCTAGTGTTTTCTGTGTTTCTCTATAGTAGCATGACTCATTGTTTCTTCTTGTGGACTAGTATATTCTATTACATGGATGTACCATATTGCTAAGTCCCTTTGTCTGCAAAGGAACATTGGGGTTGTTTCTACACTTTGGCCATTGTAAATACTATTGTTATTCTTTTTACATTTTGTTAAATTTAATTTGTGTGTGTGTGTGTGTGTGTTTCTGTGTTCATGTGCACTCCTGTGTACTATATGAAGGACAGAGGAGTCTGTTTTCACTTTCCATCATGGGTTCTGGAGCTTGAGTTTATGTGGTTGGGCTTACCTGGCAAACACTTTTAACCATTGAGCCCTAATATTGCTGTTCTTTTTGTTTGTTTGTTTGGTTTTTCCAGACAGGGTTTCTGTGTGTGGCTTTGGAGCCTGTTGTAGAGCTTGCTCTGTAGATCAGAGATTAGCCTACCTTTGCCTCCCAGGTGCTAGGATTAAAGGTGTGCATCACCAAACCCAGCAGCATTTTTTTAAATAATTTATTTGAATTTATGTGCATTGGTCTGTAGGTATCAGATCCCCTGAAACTGGAGTTACAGACAGTTGTGAACTGCCATGTGGGTGCTGGGAATTGAACCTAGGTCCTCTGGAAGAGCAGCCAGTGCTTTTAACTGCTGAGTCATCTCTCTATCTCCTAGGCTGCCGTTCTTTAATGTAGATGAATTTGAGAAGTTTCCAAAGCCATGAAAAAATAGTGGGTAAACTTAATGGCTTTTTCAGTGGTTTCCCCCATTCATTTTCAGACTCTTTGGAAGTGTAGCAGACTTCACAGTTCTGAATGTCAGCTGCCAACGATGCTGGTAGATGATGAAGCAGCTGAAGAGGACTCAGAAGCAGTCTCCTCCTTCAGGAGAGGCAAGCGTGTCTCCAGATGACAGAGCTTAACAATTTTTGTACGATATGGAGGACTTTGATTTGGTGAAAACATTACAAAAAATTTCCCCTTCTGTAGACTCTGACATCAGAAGTACTCCCCATTCTCTTGGGTTGAGCTTGTGTGCTAATAGGTAAGAATTGTTAGATACTATATTTCTTCCTTTTTTTTTTTTTTTTTTTTTTTTTGGTTTTTCAAGAAAAGGTTTCTCAGTGTAATAGTCCTGGCTGTCCTGGAACTTCTCTTTGTAGGCCAAGCTGGCCTCAAACTCATAGAGATCCGCCCACCTCTGACTCCCAAATGCTGGGATCAAAGGTATGTGCTACCACACTCACCAGAGAATCAGATAGCTTTAAATATAAAGATTTTTTTCCTTGATAAATTTACATATTATAAATAAACTACTTTAAAAACTTTTCGTTCTCTGCCTTCCTTGTGAGGGATTTGAAGTGGCTTTAAGGTTGTGTGTTATCCCATGGCATAAGGTAGTGAGAATGAGATGTAAGATTGTGAGAAATGGCCCAGAAGAAGCATCTGCTGCAGTGCTCTGTGGTAAGAGCTGGGCCCTGGCCCACATTTACCTCTTGTCCTATCTGGTGGCCCCTCTGAAATCCACTTGTAGAAGAAATTCCCTTTAGTGCTTGAATTGCCTGTACTTTTCTCATGAAGTTTGTCATTGAACTTGTATCCCTTTTCTTTTTGACTGATACTTAAATCCACCACGTTGAAAATAGATCATTGCAACTCTGTAAAGCCCTATGGACAACATATACTTTAGAGTTTACTATATTCTTGCTCTTGAATTTTTATTGATTCTTTTCTAGTCCTAACTTTATTATTTTAATATTTTCATTTTTATTGTGTATATGTGTATAAGAAAAAAAGCAGGTATATTCACTAAGTAAATAAAATTGTCCAGGGACTGGGGATGTAGCACTTTTGGTTGAATGCTTGTCTGGCATGCAGGAAGCCCAGGGTTCTGTTCCTTGTACAATATAGATCAGTAATCATGGCTCATGCCTGTAATTCCTGCACATGGGAGGAAAAGGCAGGAAGAACATCAGTTCAAGGTCATCCTCTCCTACATAGGGAACTTGAGGCCAGCCTAGCATACATGTGTCTGGAAAAAATAACAGTAATGGGGGGAGAGATGGCTCTGGTTAAGAGCACAGGCTCTTCTTCCAAAGGACCTGGATCCAATTCCCAGCACCCACATGGTAGCTAACAACTGTTTGTAACTCTAGTTCCAGGTATCCAACACCCTCATATAGGCATATATGTAGGTAAAACACAAATACACATAAGATAAAAGTAACTAAATTATTTTTTAAAAATCCAAAAAT